TACGATTAAATATTTAATAACTAAAAGGGCAAGTTAAACTTTTGAAATATACTTTTTTGTATCACATTCTATATATTGAATCAATTGCAACTATAGTTTTAAAAGCTAAAAATATTAGTACTTTGAATATTTTAAATCAAGATTTTGATAAATGTAATAATAACCTTATTATGCTTATTAAGCTATTCGTGAGGATTATATATTACAAGACTTTTCATAAAGAATCTAGTACTATTTTAGATTAGTGATTCTATATTATTAAATAATAATATACATTTTGCATTTGCTATTTTAACAATTGCATCAATGCGTTTTTATTGATTAGCAAATCCTATCTGAGTATATCATTGGTCTTATATTATTTATTATATAAATTTGTATTATACTCATATTATTGTAAGCTCGTTGTAACTATTTCTTTAACTTTTCTTCATTTTTTTTAGTCTTTTATATAATTTTGCATTTGTATAACTTGATTATTAAAGACTGCTATTGACTGTAATTTTTGTTGAATTTCTATTTACATAGATTTAAAAGACTTTTGACTTTATTAACATCAGCAATTGAATTAATATCATTATTCTCAAGCTAAAGTCTTTTATTCTCTTAAACAGAATTTACAATATACTAATAAAATTGATTAATAATAATAGTTTGATTGTAGTACCTTTTACAAATTAAATAAGCATTTAAAGAAGAATGACAATTAATTAGTTTAGAAAAATAAATATGATATTGTAAAAATTTCTTAACTGTATTTTTATTACTAACATATCTCTATTTTTGTGATTCTTTAATTTTGTAAGGTTTTAATTCAATTTCATCATATTTTTCAATTAGATCTGCAAAAATATATTGAAGTTCTCTTACTTTAGATTTCAGGTAAGCAAACACTAAAAAAAATGTTTAAATTATTATTAGTTTAACTAATAAAATTGTATTTATTTATTAATAGTATGCAAACTGAATACTTAGTTTAAACTCTTATTTACTTTAACAAATAGACTTTAATATAAGAGATTATTTGTAATTATGGAAGCTAAACATCTTATTCTAACTATTTTAAAAGCTTTTTATATTGAAATAAGTATTTTAAAATTTTTTTTTAAAATGCAGGTATAAATTGTATATATAAGCCAATCAAAATTTAGAAATCTGAAATGAATATTCTAAAATCCATTTCCTTATTTAGAATATTTCTTAATTATAGTTAGATCAGTGTTGAATTTTAAATACATTTTTGATTTTAAATATTTTGAATAAGGTTTGAACAAGTATAACTAAATTTTTATCTATATATAAATGTTATACAAAAATTACATAGAAGAATACTATGAGTATGAGAAGTATTATATTATAGCATTCTAGAAATTTGTCAGTTTTCTATAAAACTTTGCTTACCCTCTCTTCTAATTTTACTAATGGACCAAGATTATATTTTGCAAAACATTTCCACACCATTACTCCTTGTTGACCTGACTTTACTGTAGGAATTAAATACTTCACATCATAGCTTATTTTTTGATTACTACACGAGATCTATCTGTATGATCTGTTAAACTATATAAGTTTTCTTAAACTTAAGTTTTATTATAATATATTGCTACAAAATGTAATAGTTTATAAAAAACTAACTTTAAACAGTTTTTTTATAGTAAACGGCTACATTTATATAAAACAAACTTTTTGGCAAGAAAAAGATAAGAAAAAATATTAAAGATTATTTATATTATTATTCTTTTACTTTATGTTTACTATAAATCTATTTTATTAATTTCTGTTATAAGCATAGACAAAATTTTTAACGTTGCCTCAGAATTTTCACCATTCTTCTCTCCTTTTATGTCATCATTATCATTACTACTATTCTTGTTACTATAATTATTATCAAAGTTCTTCAAGGTAAATGTATTTACTTCTTTTCAACTTGTTTTAAAAATAAATCAACATTTTTATAAATTTCTTTTTTATAGAACTTTTCACAATGAATATACCTTCTATTATAACAAGCTGAATGATAGATATAATCACAAATAAATACTGTGCTATTATTTCATTGAATAGAAGTTTGCAAAAATCACATAATCCAAGTTATGGTGAATATGCTATACTATATGTCATTGGTAAGTACTGTAAATTTACTTCTTTTTCTAATGTTACAAGCTGATAAATTTTTGATTAGTTTTTCTTCTTTATGGTCTTTTTAAGTCTACTTTATCCACAATTATAGAACATATTTTAAAAGTGTTATAATAAGAAAAGATTTGTTTTATTAGATAAGAATTTAAGTATTCTAATTTTATATAAATAATATTAAGTTTTGTAATATGCATTTTTAAACGTAAGATCATGATTTACCATATATTATTAAATAAAATTATTAAAAAAATATTTATTAAATTATTAAGATTAATTACATACTAATAAAATAAGCCTGTTTTATAATATTATTAGCTATTATATTTGGAAAAGTATTTACTTAAATTTGACTATATGTGTTTTTATATATAATAATTATTAAAATTCAGCAAATATGTCTTGACTATGTTATAAAAGAGATAATTAATATTCTTCTAATAAAACAAATTTGATAAAAATATAAGAGGCGCCTTATTGTAATTTTTTCATTCCTAATGTAATACAAATATTTAGATTCAAAAACTATCTCTACATATTCATCAAATAAATTTAATCAGAATAAAATTGCATAAATATCAAATATTGTCAAGATTAAATTATCAAGTAAATTGATCATAGTTTGATATTTAATATCTTTACAAGTTTGTCTAAATTTTCCATAATTTTTTTTTTTATTTTAATCCAAGTATTTTACACAAGGTCTAATAAAAGATTTATCTTTTATAAATGGAATTTTTTGCTAACTTTTTACGATTATCAAATACAAAATGAAATAAATTCTCAAAAAAAATAATGTATTAATAAAACTTATTCTTAGCTATTTAATGACAAATAAAATGGATCTAACATAGGCAAAAATAATTCAATTTTATGAAATAATATATCTGTATATAATGCTTTTCTAATAAATATCTGACTAGATCAATCAGTAATAATTAGTATAACTTATTAACCTAATTGTTCATTTATTGATAAAATGAGTTTCAATAAATTAACATAATCTTGAACTGAATGTAAATGTTATTTCTTAAATTCAACTAGTTAAAGTCCCTTTATAGATTGTTTCTCCTTTTATTCAATAATATTGTTATTATAAATATATACTGTTAATGCTTCTATTCAATCAAATTTATTGGTATTTAGTTATCTTTATAAAATCTAAAGTGGATGATAATCTAAATATGAAATATTAAATATTCTATAATATTGGTAATTAAGTATCAGCAAACTTTCTATGCCTCAATATTTGACAGATTATGAAAAGATATATTATTAAAGATAAGTGATATAAAAGGAAATCCTATTATAGGCTTTACTACACATGTAGCAAAATACTTTGCATTTGATGTAAAGATTGTATCTGGTTTGCAAATTTCATAGATTATATGATAATCATCTATATTGTAAATATAAAATACATTTTTCTAATAAAGAAAAATTAAATTCAATATATATATATATTCTTTAATTTTATTAAAGAATTCAATATATATTTACATTCTATAAAATGCTTTTTAACTTTCATTACATATTCTTTTTTGATTTTTTTTTGAAAATTATCTACTGTTTTAGCACATGTTAAGTATTTAAAGCTTGATATTATATTAATAGTATTTCATATTGCATCTGATAACATTAAATATAAGTCAACTTCTAACTTATATTGATTAATAAATTTGTTTTATAAGCCTATTATCATATAACATAAATTAATAATTGATTTTTTAGCTTGATTTATATTATAAGCAGAGCATTCTTTAAGAATAATTAAATTCATCATAAAATTAAAAACCCTTTGAGTTGAAGATTGATTTCTTCAATCATATATTCAAATTTTAACGAATCTAATTCTAAATTAGCATGTTCTTAATGTTATTGGTAATAATACTTTTGTTAATATTTGTATCTTTAAAGCAAATATAAAATCTTAACATTAACGTTAGTATAGAGATTAGTGTTGAGATTGATATTGATATTAGTGTTATCTTTAAATTAATTTTTAAATTAATATATATATATATTAAAAAGATAATATTATAACATTATTATATTTATCTATATCATTATTATTTGAAAATTCTATTGTTTTTTTTTGAATTACTAATTTTTTTTGATTAAATTTTCATCTCTGTTGATTTCTTTCAGCTTCTACTATACTGCAATAATGTGAATAAAAAAGTTGTCTTCCTATTTTAAAATAAGAATACAATTGTAACTTTTAATTTTTATAACATTTCTCATATGTAAGCTTCGTAATAACACGAAACCTAACATTTGTTTGTGTATAATTTGTAACAAAGCAGGGTCTAAAATTTTTAGGTTTTATATTATAAAAAGAAATGTCACACAAAAAAAAGAAAAAAAGTGCAGTTATACAACTTTATTTTTGAGTTATTAATATCACGTGAAATTTCTAACCAATCACAGTTATTGTTATTTATCAAAATAGCGGCCAATCATAGAGAAATTTAGTCATGCTCATGTGATATGAATCATCACAAAACTTTCACGACAGTAAATCTAGTAAATCTAAAATTTTTTTTCGTTTACATTTTCTTCGTGTATTTCGAGCAACTAAGCAAATTGTAAATCGGGTGGGTTGGGCAGCTATTTTCTTCCCTTAATAGACGTATTTTGATTGAGCAAGAAGTAAGCGTCTGCAACAGTGAGAGACTGTCGGAAGCCAGTATTGGCAAGTCATCGTGTAGGGGTGGCCAACCTTATTTGAAGAACAATGGACTTTATTATAGTTTACATTTGATTTGTTAAATAAGATATTTATCATTTCTATTTCTGTAGTTATAATGGGAAAAAGAAGTCTCAAGTTCTAACATAACCGTCTAAGAACGCCACGTTACTGGATGTTAACTTGCTCTGATCCAACTCCGCTTGCGTTTTTTCCAATTTACATACCCAACACACAAAGCTCAAGCAACTGTAAATATCGCAAAGTTCTCGATCTGGCTATGAATAAAACCGATAATCAGGAAGTGCTTAGTAAGTTCAGAAGAATAAAAGGAACGATAGATGTATGTAATTGAATTGGATTCTTTTGTCGTATTGTAAATAAACTTCTGATTCTGTGTTCATTTCTACAGAAAGAAAGGATTTTATTTGACTGGGAAACCTTGATGCATCAAAAAACTGCGGTATATCGAGTTTCTGGATTTTAGACAGTTTAGCTTGTTGGCTGACAAAATTTCATATATAGATTTTAGTTCGCCGTTCTGTACATAATACGAATTTTAATATTCATGAAGAGATAAACACGTTTGCGCAAAATGAAGTAAAGGTTATATTCTTCAAAAACAAAAAAAAAAACTTATAATAATATGCTTAGAGAAGGTTTGGAAAATTTATTATAGAAACCATCAACAAAACACGCTAGAATTGATAAAGTAAAGATTTTGATTGGTTTTACAGTAATGGCAGAAAAAAATGGCAGTCGCGATCATGTGATTAAAACAATGGTTTACATCACATCTGATTGGACAACACAAACCAAATTTTTGTTTGATTGTTTACTATGTTACACTGATCAACATGCATAAAAAAACTGAACACAAGAGTGCTTCATAACTGATATGATGTAATAATGCTGCAAAAAATTTCTATTAAAGAATGATGTGAGGTAGTTAAGTCGTTGTGAAATAATGGAACACAAAATGTAAACGAACTATATAAAATTACCAAGTTCCCATTAAGGACACTGTATCGGTGGTCATCACAGTTAAAAAAACAAAAAATTTAAAACAACGA